CTTCTAGTTAATTAAAATATCGTTATGAATGTGGAATGAGAGAAGAAAAGCAAGAAACTTTTGTTTTTTTTTTTTTTTTGGAAAGCAAAAAATGCCTCTTTTCAATTGAGAAATACTATATTGCAGAACTGGTTGGTGAGAGGTACTTATTTTCTCAATGAAACATCTTGAACACAAATTCTTCCGCACACACACTAATTCATCAAATAGTAGTTCATGAAAAGCAGTCATACCCCTAGTCCCAGGTTATGAAGGCACAACTTTCACCTGAGCATTTGTAGTGCAATCAAAAGAAATTAACCTAACCTTCACCAATATATATATATATATATATATAACTCAATAAATGTCCACAACATAGTGTCCATTGCATCATACAATGTCCATTATTAGTCCTCAACACAGTATACATAATTCAAAACATTTGAACTAGCAATAATACTAAAATATGCCTAAAATGCTCTACAATAAAAACCATAAAGATCCGAGCCTCGTACTTCTCTTCATGCCTTCAAGTCTGTTGTATATCCTAAAATTCTTCCACTGCTGCAACCTATAATAAGTCGACTGAGCTAGACAACCAAGCAAGCAAGTTCTACCCTCCATAGAAATGATAAAGAAAGCATGTCAAGAAAATTCATGTCGCTATATATTTTTTTATAAAACAAGTTCAAGCAGACGACTAGTTATCAAAACCAATTATCATATTAGACAGGGACAAGTTTGTCATTAACTCATTATTAACAAATATCCGATAGAATTCCAGACTATACCAATAATTCAAAACAACTAGCTGAGCCACGTACTTCACTTCATGCCTTCAAGTGTGGTATATATCCTAAATTCTTCCAGTGCTGTAACCTAAAATAACCTAAAATAAGTGGAGCAAGGTAGACAACCAAGTAAGAGAATTATACCCTCCATAAGCATGATATAAAAAGCGTGTAAAGAAAATTCATGGCACTATATATTTTTTCATAAAACAAGTTCAAGCAGATAACTAGTTATTTATCAAAACCAATCATCATATCAGACGGGGTACAAGCTTGTCATTACTAATCACATATCCAATAGAATTGCCAAGTATGATAATAATTCAAAACAATTATAGCACCATGGTTGTCCAATGAAAATCCTTGAGACTAAGTCTTGCATCTTATATCACACAATTTCACTTTGCTAATTCAACAATGGAGAGAATTTTCAGAAAGAAAGACATTAAAAGAACTCCATGCTTAAATAACATAAAAATGAAGAGGATAGAGAAATTTCTCGACTTGAGCATGAAATCATTGCAAGAGAATTTAATCAACATTTTCCTATATGAACCTGTAAACTAGTGCAATATCATTTAGATACTAAGACAGACGAATATGACCTTTATCTGGGACTCTTGGTGCCTCAGCATTCCAAACCAGCTTTCACCAACCACCTGTAAACAATCTCTCTCTGCAATATTATTGGATAGAGAATTAAATAATGCAATGGATTCCCCTTCTATTAGATCTGAGCTAGTACCACCATGAATACACCACAAAGCAACCTCACACACCACACTCTTCTACACCCATAACACAATCCACTCAAAAATGCCTGAGACTTTCTCTCTCTTCTCTATCTCCTCTGATTGCTACTCCCCTCTCCTCCTCTCCACAACCACTACTCCAAGTCCAGAAAGACCAAAAAGCCTCTCACTCTCCCTCTCCCTTTCCCTTTCCCTTTCCCTCTCCCCAACCCGGCAATCCCCCAACCCTTTATCATCTTTTCTGCCATCTGCCTCTTCATCAGCATCAGTGGAATCCTTTTCTCTCTTTGGCATTCTCCAACCCAAACCCCTCCCTGCCTTTCGATGTGACCACATTGAAGACACCTCACAAGAATTCGATCATTTGCCGAATGTGTGATGGTTGTGCAACAGCAATGGCCTTCCAGATCACCCAAAGATCCTATTATTCAGATATTGGAATGGGTTAGCAGTAATACAAAGTAAACAGCAAAATCTCTAATTTGCTTAGTTATCTATGCAATCATTTTTACAAGGATCCGGTAAAATTCATGGCTTCAACACTAGAGAATATTTTAAAGCACAAGACGCAATATACACCACATTTTATAAGGAAAATCTCAATAGAAGCTTAATTCTACTGGTAGAAACTCTACCATCCTGGTTAACTAAGCATCTTTACAAATAGAGGAATACAGACACAACTTCCATGAGTAAGCTTCCAGCAGAATCAATAATAATATTACCAACTTTGATGCAAACGTTCTTCACCCACAGGCCAGGTGCTTCACCATGAAAATGGAAGTCCACTAGTCCCTACTCTATCATCCAAGGGGATGAAACATCTTCCATTTATTCACTGGGAGATTTTCTGTTTTCTTCTTCTTCTTCTTCTTCTTCTTCTTCTTTTATTTTTTATATATAATTGGTAAGTTGCAGAGAGATATGTCTGCAAACATCAGAATTCTGTCCTTTTTCCTTTTGGTCGGTCAACCTCGGTTTCGCTTTTCTGACAGGCATTGCGTGATGTTTACATCAGCCTCTTCTTGCACAGTTGCATACTCTGTTTCCGGGTTCCACACTTCTTTTCAAACACCTCCAGGATCCAGCCCCCTTCCAAACCCAAACAAACAATTGCATGATCACACAATGGCTGTGTGAGTTTCTTGCCAAGGGAGAGAGAAAAAAAAATCTACATGGATATTGAAGCCCAAATTACAATTTGTGCTTGACGGAATTTGCATCACATTGTCTCCACCATTTCATCCTTGCATGTGATCACAGGATTGAATATGTGGAAATCAAGGAAAGGTTTCCAAGTAACAATCCAGATTAAACCAGTTTAATAACCATTCTAGACAGGAAAAAATAAGACATCAATAATGATAAAGGACCAGTTTGGTAACACCTGGGGAAAGGAAAAAGTAAGGTAACACATGACACCAAGGACTTGTGTATATATTTCATCCTCTAGGAGACAGATTTATCTCCTGCTTTCTATTGGATCGATCCCTTAACTGGGGACCCGAGCCCACTGATATGATCCTGAAGGATTTAAAAACTTATGAGACATCTTTGTGATGACTCGTCAATTTAGAACTCTATGCATACTCTAAGAACAAGAAGGACAACAAGCATATATAAGTCAACCATACAAGAACATCCAATCCAGCAGCGGTGAAACCCAGAATGCTAACTGATTGAGCACTGAAGTAATCCATGGCGTTTTTAGACATTCAGATTGATCAATAATTGCAGTCAATACCTTCAAGCATACTGACGGAAAAAAAATAAAAAATAAAAAATAAAAAATAAAAAAAAGAAAAACAGCATACTGAGAAAAGAGGAGAGATTTTACTTATAAATAAATAAAAGAGATTTCAGCAGAGGGGGATTTTGCCAGTATGTTGTGGATTTGCAGACTGACCTAACAAAGTCCACCTTCTATGTCTTGAGTATTGTAAGGCACTAAACCAGGAAGCTTCCAGCCGATTTGAGGGTTGGATTCATTGAAGTTCTATGAACTGGACTCTTTGATTGATGATTTCCAGTAGGTTCTGTTGTGATCGTAAATGGGTATAGTGAGGCCGCAGATGGAACAGTCTACCTTTTGGATCATTCTGCTGCATTGGCATCTCTTCGGTAGGCTTCCCAAATAAATGAGCTGCTTACTTGCATCAACAAAGGAAAAAATCCTTATTCCTGCTTTCAATGGGCCTTGTTCATTCACCACAGAAATGCAAGAAATTCTTGTGTCAGATGCAATCAGAAAACTATTCTTTCATGCATAGGGCCTACATATGAGAGAGATGGAGGTTGCAGCAGTGGTGGTGGTGAAGTGGTAGAGGTGAGGTTTTAGAGAGAAACGTGTGTGTGTGTGTGCGCACGTGTGTGTGAGAGAGAGAGAGAGTGACAGATAAATTAGACTACATTCAATTTGGAGTTACAGTTTGATGATTGCGGAATCAGCAAAGGAATTGGTGGCAGCAGCAGTAGTTGCGGTGATGGAGAGAACAGAGAGCAAGTGTATGTGTCAATGGTGGTGTGGGGTGAAAGTGAGGGTCTAAAGAGAGAAACAGGTGATACACGCATGCGCACAGAGAGAGAGAGTGGTGTAGGAACCTGAACTGGATATGAAAAGAGAGTAGGTTTGCTTGCAAATAACACCTGGATATGAAAAGAAAATTAAGAGATTAAATAGAAGGCATAATGGTCTTTTCCCTTTTTTAGTCATTCCTGGAATTTTTTTATTAAAAAACTATTACAATAATATGAGGTAAAAATGTCAAACAACTCAATAATTTAACACTGTTTCTTCAACAAACTCTGAAGGTGTGTCAGTGTGATTTTCGCAAAACTTAATCTGAGGCAGGTCGGGGTAATCTCCATTTTGCTTAGATTGAAATCTTTAGAAATAAAGATTTTCACAAACCATTAACCTGATGATTAACTTGTACATTTTTGCAAACCATTAATCTGATTATTAACTTGTACATTTTGCTTAGACTGAAATCTTTAGAAACAAACTTAGAGAGATGACACAATTCCATTTTATGCTCAACAATGATGGAACAGATTGCTGCATAGTTGCAGCGCGCTGATCAGAAAAATCTTCTGTGAGAATAATTGAACAATAACAGATAGTCGAGTTCAAGCTTCTAACTAAGAAGCACCATGCAATAACAGAGTATCAGAATGTTGATTTGATACTTTAGATTATTCAATTGGCATCAGAAGAAAAAATAAAAAATAAAAAAGTAAGTGTTCGTTGCAGAGATTAAGGTACCCAACTTGTTATTTTGGAAGTTAACACTTCCGGTACAAAAGGTTGCCTTCTTATATACAAGAGTATGAAACCAGGAAAGGATCCCAGAAATAAATGGTGCATAACATAATTGAATCCAGAGATTAAAAAAAATTAGAACATGTATCAAAGATAGTCATTGCCTACTAAAGAAAAAGCTTAGGCAATTCAAAGAGTAAATGATACCAAAACTAAAATAAAGCTTAAATGTACCCATTCAACAAAGAGTGCATGTTACATTGTCACGCTCTTGCTACAATAACTTAAACCGTCACTGCAAAACAGACCCATCAAAGTTTTAATACCTACTTTGAAATTAAACGACATTTTACCCAGTAATCATGGTTCCGGCCCCCTCGTCTGTGAGAATCTCGAGGAGCAACGAATGCGGCAACCGCCCATCGATGATACTCGCCGTCCGAACCCCCTGCGCTAGCGACCTCACGCAACAGTTCACCTTCGGAATCATCCCACCTGCAATCTTCCCATCTTCCATCATCTTCTTCACGCCTTTTATATCAATCTCCTTCACCAAAGTCCCCGGATCGGCCTTGTCCTCCAGAATCCCCGGTACGTCCGTCAGCAGAATCAGCTTCTCAGCCCCCAATGCCGCCGCCAACTCCCCGGCTACAGTGTCCGCATTGATATTATACATCTGACCTTCGTCGTTAGCCGACACCGACGCAATAACCGGTATATGATTGTCCTCGATGTGCCGTCGGAGGGCGGATGGGTTCACGCTGGCGACCTCTCCGACGAATCCCAATTGGGCTGATTTGGAAGACGGGCGGGCGGTGAAGAGGCGGCCGTCGATGCCGGAGAAGCCGATGGCGGTGGCACCGGCCTTGTTGATCAACGAAACGAGGTTCTTGTTGACCTTTCCGATGAGGACCATAGAGACGATTTCCATGGTGGACGAGTCGGTGACTCGGAGGCCGTTGAGGAAGTGGGCTTCGATGCCCAATCGACCCAGCCACTGGTTGATCTCGGGCCCACCGCCATGGACGAATACAATGCGGATGCCGACGCAGGACAAAAGCACGATGTCGGTGATGACGGAGGCCTGGAGAGACTCTGATTTCATGGCTGCGCCTCCATACTTGACTACGACGGTCTTGCCTCGGAATTTCTGGATGAACGGCAGACTTTCGGCGTATATGTTGACTCTCATCTGAGGGGTCAATGCTGACTTGTCTTCTTCAGAAAGAATTATCGGCGAAACCTCTGACATTTTGAGGCATGATGAGAGAAATGGGGACTTCTTGTTGTTGCTGGTGGTGGAGAGAGAAAGTGGAAAGGTGAGATTAGGGTTAGGGTCTTTTAGGGTTTTTCCAGGGAATGAGAGGGGAGAGGAGTGGGGTAGAGTTACAGCCGCCACCATTCTTCTCTCTGCGTATAGTGGAGGAGTGAGTTCTGTATGCGAGGTTTAGAGAGAGACCAAGAGGCAGACGGTTTAGAGAGAAACCGAGAGGCAGATGGGATAATTTTTATTGCGACAAAGATGCTTGTTGAAAATACGCAGTGAGATTTATCCTACAGCCTATTTCCTGATTCATTACTAGTGCGGCGTCTCGCGCAGGTTGGCGGGGGATAAAAATCCGCTCCAGTGAGCCTCTCACTAGACCCACCGACTGAGATCAAACCCACCTCAGCTTCCTTGTCTAGTTAGCGAGTTAGTGGACCACCTCAGCTGCCTTGTCTTGTTAGCGAGTTAATGGACGCGCTGTTACTAAGCTACAATTCCTTTTATCACCTATACCCAATACACTACACTTATACAATATACAATATATCATATATATATATATATATATATATATATATATAATATTAGAATAAAGTACAATAACTCTCCAGGTTTGTCGAAAAGACATACCGATAAAACTTAATCTATTTTGGGACAAAAAAACGCTTTGATACAGTTACCAAAGACACCCCAATGATAATAAATTGACATTTTTGCCCTTTGACTTTTATATTGACCAATTTGAATATTGAAATGACCTTTCTAACCAATGCTCACAAACCCAGATCCTTCATTCTCTCACTTTTTTTTTTTTGATCAATCAATCTCTATCTATTGTGCATAGATTCTAGTGGTGGCAATCACTATATGGTATGCATATCTTTTACTTAGAGCTTATCATAAATGAATTACACAAAACTAGGCCTCTAAATTGAGGGTTGTGAAGTTAACAAAAATGATCAAGGTGTGTTGAAGGGGATGTGTGTGTGTGTGTGTGTGTTTTCTTTTTTTCCTTTTTTTTTTTTTCTTTTTTGATAACTAATACGTGATTGTTTTACTGATGAAACTGGATTTATGATGTCTAAACAAAACGTCCTTTTTTTTGTTCTCCTGCTTCATCTTTTTTTCTTCTTACACACTTCTATGACTTTCCCTGAATCAAGGTTCTGCCAGCCACATTCCTCAGCCCCTTCCAGCTACGCGTATGGCCAGTCGTCATCGGGATCCGGATCAACCAACAAGACGGCGCCGATTGCACAATTCTGGAGCACCACCATCTACCGTCCCTCTTCTCCGTGGGTAGGTTCAACACTGCCGAGTATAGCCTTGTAATGCTCGCTGCTGCTGCCCCCTTCACTGTCGATCTCCATCATGTTTAACACCCTTCGCCGGACACGGTTGTGTCGCCACCACCGTGCTCATCCTTCGTCGGACAATATCACGGTGCAAGTAATATATATATATATATATATATATATATATATATATATAGACAGATGGGTTTATGTATATATCTCTATATATATAGAGAAAGTAGAAGGGCAATGATGAGCACTGAAAAGTGCGCATTTAAACCCGTTAAGCTTAAGCATTCTAGTACCTTTATCTGTCTTACTTTGCCGTTTTAGACTTATTACGTATTATTTATATTTTTAGGCACTAATCCCAAAATTGAGCTAACTCAGCCAAATAAGAGCTTAATTGAAGCAATCCTGAGATAAACCAAAGGAGGGAGCAAAGTGGAGAAAGAAAGGAGCAAAAAGGAATCAAAGTTGTGCAGCTGAAAAGTTCGATCGATCCAACTTAGAGTTCGATCGATCGAACATCTATGATCGATCACAGTACTTCTCGATAGATCCAACCTTGGCCTTTGCTGAAATTCTAAGTTCGATCGATCCAACATCACCTTCGATCGATCGAACCCTATTTTGTCCTATTCAAATGATTGATCTTATCCACAGCTGTACGCCTACCAACCACTTTTGTCCTTTTCCCCATAAATATCTTCGAAATATCTCAGCCTTGTCCTTATCCAGAGGAGTTAGACCACTTCGATCGATCCAAGATGCAGTTCGATCGATCGAACCGATCTTCGATCGATCCAAGTTAATGTTCGATCGATCGAACTTCCTCCAGCGAGAAAAAGTTAAAGTCCAGCTCATTTATTCCGTCCTTCACCCAATCATTGGAGAATATGTCTTGCACGACGACAGCTTATCATAGGGTGTATTTGACCTACCTATATAAGGAATATGATACACTTTTTGGGGAGGGGAGTCTAGAGTCTCTTGTCACACATTGAAAATCATCTTGGAGGCTATTCTTGGAAAGGAAGAAGGGAGGAAGCTAGAGCAACCATTGGAGGAGATCTTCATCTACAAGGAGCAGCCATGGAGTTAGCCCTTGAGGGTTGGATCATCACTACCATGAGTGGCTAGACATCGTCTTGGGGCTAGAGTTAGCCCCAAGCATGCTTTCTATACTCTAATCTTGTGTATTATTGAGGGATTAGTGTTGTATGATACATCTTGATATTCATGTATATATAAATCTTGATTATTTCATGGTTTGTATGGTTTAATGCTTCCAATTGACTATTCTATGCTACCCATATGTCTATGTATGCTAAAGTAGGATATTCATGTGCTTATCTCTAGATTTAGTGTTTTTGATGCATGTCTATGTGTATTGATGCTATAGATCTAGAGATTATCAAGATGATATGCTTAATGAATGCTATTTTGGTTCATTTGATGGTTTATGCCTATTCTTGATGGTTTGTGCCTCTCCCCTAGTCTAGATAGCTTTATTTTCATGCTAGTAGTGTAGATTTAGTGTAGTGGTAGTATAATGTTAGATGGGAGGACAATCTACTCTTGATATTTGATGTTCCATGCTTGTGAGTCCAAATGGCATATTCCTCTAATATTGTGTTGCATGTGGATTGTGAGCTTAATGAAGGATTAATGACTTGTTTTGATCTATTGTGCTATCCCCATATTGTCTAGACAATATATGCTCTATTGCTTAGATATATTGTGCTCTTCACATGATGTTTAGACAATACTTGCTTGATTTGTCATCCTTGCCAATTGAATCAACCTAATGCACACACACCCTTATCATATTGCAACACATCCATTACCCTCAATTGATCACTTGTTAGTAGTATAGAAAAGTATTGCTTGGTAGTGATCTCTACACCCCAAGACCTCTCTCTCTCTTGTTTACCTCATATTATTTTATTTAGTTGAATTCAATTTAGCTTAATCAACCAACCAACCAATTGTGTGATCACTCGACCTACTAACCCTAATTACCATAGTTCACAATTCGATACACCATCAAATCCCTTGGGACGATCCCTACTCGCCCTATCTATATTTTATATAGAGAAAGGTAGTAGTGGCTTTTTATAAATGTAAAACTTGGCCACCTCCTAAACACACACAACTCTCAAGCTTTGTTGGTTGTGGCGACTCCATCAAGGAAACCGATACTAAGTTTTTGGCGCCGTTGCCGGGGATTTTAAATTGGCAACGTCGAATTGTGAAATTCAATTAGGATTAGTACTCTTTTGATCGTGTCTTTACTTTCTTTTTATTTTCTGTTTTTGATTACTTATTAAGTTTGTTCTTCATTAACAAGGTGCATTGAGCAAGGAGCTAGCAAAGAACTTCCAAGCTAAGGAGCAAAGGAAAAATGCTTAAAATGAAGAGTTGCTAAAAAAAAAAAAATTTTTGCTAAGCTAAGCTTTTAAATTTGGAGTTGAAGTGCTAAAAGACTATTGTGAGACCTTCTTACTCAATCTCCTTAGTTAAATCGGGGGCCCACGTGGAGGCATTTATGTGACATACATTGCATTTGAAAATTGTGGTTGTGAAGTTTAATTGCATTGTTGAGAAAGTTGCTTATTCGTGTTGCATTGTGCATGCATGGTCGTCGTTCATTGAGACCTACTCTTGTCCCTCTTGATTTGCATTTAGAATCCACTATTAGGAATCCAAGGGGAAGAGGAAGTTCACATAGAACCAATCTACCAATGGATGCTCTCAATGATGATCATGTTGAAGACCTTGGTCACATAGACCAACAAGGCATCCTTCACCCTAATGTGCAAAATGATAATATGCAAGTTCCATTAGGCATGCCTAGCCCATACATTCATCAACCTCCTTAACAACAAGGCCAAATTCCAATGGGAATTCCAAGGCCAATGTATGCACCACAACCCCCCATCATTAATCAAGCTCAATATAACCAAGGTGTCCATGTTGCACCTCAAGTTGCTAATCCACCACTCGCATTGAGAGATCACTATGTGCCTAATGAGTATAATGCACCCACATGCATTCAATTACCACCATTTAGAGCACACCATTATGAGATTAAAGCACAAACTATCCAAATGCTACCTAACTTTCATGGACTTCCTAGTGAAGAACCTTACAAGCATTTGGATGAGTTTCTTGAAGTTTGTTCTACCGTTCGATACACGGACATGCCGGAAGAAGTTTTAAGGCTGAAACTTTTTCCATTCACCCATAAAGATAAGGCAAAGTATTGGTTCAACAAACTTAGGCCTTTTTCTATAACTTCTTGGGCAGAAATGCAACAAGAATTTTTGAAAAAGTACTATCCGGTTTCGAAGACCAATGCTATGAGAACCGCCATTAGGGAATTCACACATGGGGAGGGAGAAACTTTCCACGAGGCATGGGAACGCTTCAATGAATTGCTTAGGAAGTGTCCTCACCATGACATGCCTAAATGGCAATTGGTCCAATTCTTCTTTGAAAGCTTATCGGACAATTATAAAGGCATGGTTGATGTTTCAATGGGAGGTTTTTATATAGACCGGCAAGAGGAAAACGTGTGGCGTCTTTATGAGAGCATGAGTGAAAACTCTTTGCATAGAACATTGTTATCTAGGAATGGTAGAAATTCTCAAGGTAGGAAGAGTGTTGGCTTACATCAAGTTGACCACTCAAATGATATAACCGCCGAGATGAAGTCTTTATCTCAAAAGTTTGATCAATTGATCAATCAAAACTTGGCGAATCAAGTGTCTTCCTTTCCTAATCATTCTCCTAGAGCTCAAAATGAATCATGTATGACTTGTTCTAGTGTTCTTCATTCTACTTCTAATTGTCCTCATGGACAAATTCAAAATGAACCCATTGAGCAAGTTAATGCAACATTTGTGAACCAAGGGAACAATCCTTATGGTAACCATTACAATCCCAGTTGGACGAATCATCCTAATTTTTCTTGGAAAAACCAAGGGGAGGGCTCAAACTCTTCCCAAGGCAGTTTTCAAGGGAAATACATTCCACCTCCACTTCAAAACCAAGGATCCCAAGGTTCAAGACCATATAACTCACAAGGAAATCAATTT